CCCCCCCCCCAACACACACACACTCTTTCTCTCTGTCTGAGTTAGAGTTGACTCGTTGCTGACCCTCCAGGGTTTCTCAGGCCAGAGGGGAGGAGATTTCCCTTCTTTTCCCCACAAAGTCAATGGTAGATGCAAACCCTCAAAGAGGCTCAGCCTTTGTGTTGGCAGTGCCAATTCCCTATGGACTGAGCCACCAGAACTCCATCCAATATGAGCTGATTCATTCTCTTCTTACTTCTTAAATCCTTAAATGAGAAAAAGGGATTGGATCTAAATTGTTATAAATTATGTGGAAGAACAGATACTAAGGCCAGTATGTGAAAGATACAGAGAGAGAGAGCATAGTTCATAAAGAGAATGAACGGATGGAGCTTCCCAGTGAAAACATCTCCCCCAGCAAGTAGATGGCCACGTGAGGAACACGTGTTCAGGGAGGGTTAGTATAGAGGCCGGCTGGGCCACTGACACGTTTCAAAGTCTATGTTTCTCTTATCTTTGTAGGAATCTTCAAGAAAGATCCAGGATTAATTTTAATAAAAATACTAATTTAAGGATAAGTTCTGTAAAAATGTACAAGAAGATGCCCAAGAAGAATCAACAAAGTATAAAATTTCTGAAAAGCAAACTCTGGAAATTGGCCTAAAAATATAAATCTAACTTTTACCAATGAGGGGGGAGGGCATCTCTCCTTGAATTCTGAAAATCCATTCTTCTCCTTAGATCAGCAGACTACATAGACCCATGGCAAAGAACAATCTCACCACAGTCACTGAGTTCATCCTTATGGGCTTCACGGACCACCCCAAGTTGAAGGTTCCCCTCTTCCTGGTGTTTCTGTGTTTCTATCTAGTCACTCTGCTGGGGAATGTGGGGATGGTCATTCTGATTCAAGTTCATGTCCCACTACACACCCCCATGTACTTTTTCCTCAGCCACCTTGCCTTCTTGGATGCCTGCTACACCTCAGTCATCACCCCTCAGATCCTGGCCACTCTGGTCACAGGCAAGACTATCATTTCTTATGGCCAGTGTGTTGCCCAGTTCTTTTTCTTCACCATTTGTGCAGGGACAGAGTGCTTCCTGTTGGCAGTCATGGCCTATGACCGCTATGTGGCCATTAGAAACCCACTGTTTTACACCGTGGCCATGAACCCCAGAGTCTGCTGGAGTTTGATAGCAGGAGCCTACGCGTGTGGTGTTTCGGGGGCCATCCTGCGTACCACATGTACCTTCAGCCTCTCCTTCTGTGATGACAATCAGATCAACTTCTTCTTCTGTGACCTCCCGCCCCTGCTGAAGCTTGCCTGCAGTGACACAACAAAAGCTGAGATTCCCATTATCTTTGGCAACTTTGTGTTCCTGGTCAACACTTTGATCATCCTGATTTCCTACGTGCTCATCATCAAGGCCATCTTGAGGTTGAAGTCTTCGGGGAGCAGAGCCAAAACCTTCTCCACCTGTGTCTCCCACCTCACCGCTGTCGCCCTTTTCTTTGGGACTCTCACCTTCATGTATCTACGGATTGGCTCAGACAAATCCTTGGAGGAGGAGAAGGTTGTATCTGTTTTCTACACTGTGGTCATCCCCATGCTGAATCCTCTGATCTACAGCTTGAGAAACAAGGATGTCAAAGTGGCCTTCAAAAAGGTCACTGGAAAATTCCAGGTGTCCCACAGTACGTAGATCTGAGTTGGTGGATCTGTCACTCTAGCCCTTTTTCTTCCCATATATACACATTCTAAAAATAGGTATTGGCTCTATATGCAATTTGTACCCCAAAACAGAGAGAAGGTATACACATATCACTAGCCATACAAGCCAAACATCTAATGTGGTGAATGTTTTCCACTAATCCCATGGAACTCTCTTCTTTTTCCCTCTCTTACTCCTTGTCCAGCCTTGTCTTTCTAAGAACCCAGAAGTCTCATACTATTTCCTATCCTCAGAACTTCTTTAATCTGTAGAGTTCAAGGGTTGTTGGGGTTCTGTCCTCTCACTCCAACAGCCTTTGCATCAATGCTTGATTTGGTGCAGTGAATTACTCAATATGGCCCCAATGACTGTAGCCTTGGTAAAATCTAACAAATAACTGGGTGGGACTATGCAAATGAGGTAGTTGTGACTCATCAAGGGAATTGGGTAACTTGCTAACAATGTAAATAAGGTACACGACACCCTTGAAGGGATGATACCATGAAAACAAGGTGCATGAAATACCAATTAGAGGATTGGTCCATTCTGGCATACCATCAACTTAACAAAAGCTAATCTTTGAACAAGGGAGGAACCTCACAACCATCGAGAAAGAAGAACCAGAAGTCTAGTACATCCTTTAGAACCAGGGATCATGAGCTGAGAATCTCCTAGACTCAAGAGAGAGCTTTAACACTGGAGAGACTGTGAGGAGAAAGGGCAGAAAATCAGCAACAGCAAAGACAGAAAATCAGAAGACTATCAGGAAATAGTGTAGTAGGGTTTCCAGACCACAAAGCAAGAAGACTGAGCACCTTGGAGCAGACACTTACACCTTGGAGCAAGAGGCATGCTGGCAGAGCAGGATGCTTCAGGCAACTTATCAACAGAGATGAAATCGCACTGAATCATTTTTCCTGAGCAGGGCAGAAAGAGGGCCAAGAGCCTGAAGACTGAGGAAATGCATGGCTGTAGGCATGGCTGAGAAAAAGCCGTTCTGAGTGAAGAATCCTGTCCCTGATTGGTGTTTGTTCCTGAATTGTAACCTGTCACTTCCTTATTAAACATTTATAACTGTGTGATCTGTGAGTTCTATGTGGCTATCACAACTAATGTTGTTGTTGCTATTGTTGTTGTGTATCATCGAGTTGGAACTGACCCATAGTTTACCCTCCAATGGAGTTTAAGAGACAGATAATTGCACAGGAGGAGATTGCCCCTCCTTCTCTCATGGAGCAGCTGGTGGATTTGAACCACATCCCTTCAGGATTGCAGCACAGCGTCTTGCCACTAGGCCACCAAGAGCTCCTGGACAATAACTAAGGATGACAGAAGAACAATCAATGTCTTTAAGCTGTACTGGAGAAGAGTCTTGAACATATCATGGACCATCAAGAAAACAAATAGGTCTGTCTTGGAGAGGGTGAAACCAAGTTTCTCCTTGGAGGCTAGGATTTTGAAGCTTTATCTCACATACATTGGGCATGTGGCCAGGAGAGATCAATCCTTGGAGAGAGATATCATGCTCAGAAGGGTGGAGGGACAGTGCAAGAGAGGGAGAACAGGATAAGATGTATTGATACAGTAACTAAGGTGATGGGGGTTGGCATGAGAGTCAGGGAGACTGGCTCAGGAGAGGGCAGGTGTCAGAGCTATTGTACATAGAGCTCCAATGAGTCACGGGTTATTCTACAGAACATAACAATAACAACATTACAAATACTTATCAAACTAAACAGAGAAGTAGAGTCCTGTGGAGCAGCTCGTGTCAGAATCTGGTTTAAAAAAGTAGAAAAATGACTAGTATGTTGTTGTTGCTATTTATTGTTGTTGTTGTTGTTGTGTGAGATCAACTCACAACCAACCCATACCTGGCCCTCCAGCAGGTTTTCAGAGGCAGTGTATCACACAGGAGGAGAGTGTCTATCTTTATCCTACAGAGCAGCTGATGGATTCAAACTGCCTGCCTTCAGGATTGCAGTACAGATTCTTACCATTAGGTCATCAAAGGTCCCTGAACAAAGGCTATTTCTTGGAGAAGGATATTATGCTTGGAAAGGTGGAGGGACAATGAAGAAATGGAAGATCCTCAACCAGGAGGTAATGACCCAGTAACCGCAGGAATGGGCTCAAGAAAGCCAGAGATTGTGAGGATGGCACAGAATAATACAGGGTTCAGTTCTATTGTTCACAAAATTCCCTGGAAGACTACACAGGGTTTCCTTAGATTCTTGCTACTGGGTTGATTGGCAGCAGCAGCATGATAGATGGTCAATAGATTTAAATTGCTCACAGCTTCAGTTTTCTTGGCCCTACAATAAATACTCTTGTTACCAGCAGCCAGGAAATTAAAAGACAAATTGCATTGGGAAAGTCTGCCATCAGAGACCTCTCTCCAAAGTACTGAAGAGCAACAATGTCAGTCTGTAGGCTAAGGTATGCCTGATCCAGGCCATAGTCTTTACAATTATTTGCTATGCATCAGAGAGCTGTACAATGACTAGGGAGGGTAGGAGAATTGATGCATTTGAACTGTGATGCTGGAGAAGAGTATTGGACTGCTAACAAAACAAAACAGGTTCGTCATGGAGAAGGTGAAGCCAGGCTGTTCCTTAGAGGCAAGGATTCTGAAGCTTTATCTGATATACTTTGGACATGTTGCAAGGCAGAATCAGTCCTTGGAGAGTGACATCATGAATGGGAGGGCACTTGAGGGACAGCTCAAGAGAAGAAGACACCTTCAATGAGATGGATTGATTCAGTGACTGGGATAGGTGTATCAAAAGCAGTAAGATTGGCACAGAGTAGAGTGGGGTTCATGACTGTTGTACATAGGGTCACTATGAGTCACAGGTGACTCAATGGCACACAACAACAATCTTTACAGAAGTGCATAATCAGTCTTTTGTTCTTTGGAGCCCATGGATAGGTTTAAACTATCATTGTTTGGTTGCCAATCACAAACCACTTGCATCACTCAGGCTCCTTGTTTGAGTTAAAACAAGAAAGAGATCATCTCAGACAATAATTGGCTGGATTTTAAATGGAAAGCAAAGCTAAAGAAGAATGTCCAAAATGCAAGCATGTGTATATATATTTAAAATACCATGGCTCCAAACAGGTGCACCTTAGTCCTCAAAGTGATATATTTGTTTTCAAAGCTTTAAAGAGATTCTGTGCGACATGTTTACTCAGTGTAACATGTCATTTGTTTCCTGTACTGCTATTTTCGAGGACATGGATAGTGAATGGAAACAGAATGAAAATTTTGAACACTTCAAACTTTCCTCCATTTATCATGACATTACTTATTAGCTCAGTTGTTAGAAATTTTGTTTCCTTTTTGTTGAGTTGTACTTCATACTACAGGCTCTCATATTTTATCTTTATCTGTAAGTGCTACAAGTTCTCTTTATTTTCAGTAAGCAATGTTGTGTTATTTGCATGCTGTTGTTATTGTTGTTGTTGTTGACTGACCCTATGAACAGATCTGAAACTTGTTCTAAGCTGTGCCATCATCATGATCCCTGACATGGTCAAGCCCTGTGACAGTCACTGTGTTAATCCGTCTTGTTGAGGGTCTTCTTCTCTTTCTCTGACCCCACGCCTTTCCCAGCATGATGTGTTTTTCATAGAACAGGTCCCTCCTGGCAGCATTCCCAAATGATATGAGATGAAGTTTCAACATTCTTGCCTCTAAGGAGCACCCGGGCTGCTCTTCTTCAAAGATAAACACATTTGTTCTTCTGGCATTTCATGAGATAGTCAATACTCTTCTTTAACACAACAACATCTGTCTTCCTTATTCATTGTCCAACTTCCAGATGCATATAAAACAACTGTAAATACCATGGCTTGGATCAGGCGCATCTTAGTCTTGAAACTTATATCCTTGCTCTTTAGCATTTTGGAGAAATCCTTGGCAGCAGATTTACCCAATGCAGCACATCTTTTGATTTCTTGACTACTGATACCATGGATGTTGATTGTGGATCCAAGTAAACTGTCATTTGCATGTCAGCACATGAATAAGATTTTCTTCAATCCCAATGCCATATTGTTCTTCATATTGTCCAACTTCTCAGATTATTTGCTCATCATATGTTGTTTGTTGTTATGTGCCGTCGAGTCGTTTGCGACTCATAGCGACCCTATGTACAACAGCCCTAAACCCTGCTCTATCCTGTGCCAATCTCATTGCCTCTGACATACCCATCCCGATTACCCCAGTCACTGAATCAATCCACCTCATAGAGGGTCTTCCCCTCCTGTGCTGTCCCATGGTGTCCCTCTCTAAAGATCTGTCTCTCCTAACATGTCCAAAGTATGTCAGACGAAGCCCCAGAATCCTTGCCTCCAAGGAGCAGCCTGGTTTAACCCTCTCTACGATGAATCTGTTTGTTTTCTTGGCAGTCCATGGTACATTTTAGTATGAAAAAATACACGGTTTAAGGACACAACTCTAATGCTTGTGTTTTCTGATTTTAAACCATGTAGAAGTCCTTTGTTCTACTTGAACAACTGCCTCTTGGTTAATGGCCATGGTTCTCGAGGACACGATGATGTGTTCAGGAATCCTCATTCTGAGCACTGCTGCCTATGGCTCCAGAGAAGTAAAGGGAAGGACCCCTTTCACAGTTGACCATTTATCCTCATGAACCTTTTCATCTCTGTAAATCTTGCTGTTGCTTATCTCAGTGCAGAGGAAGAGGCAGTCTGCTAAGTGAAATGGCCTGTTCTTGAACTCTAAAACCCTACCTATTAATCTCCAAGCAAAACTTGGTTCCAAGAACCCCTTTTTGAAGGCAGGCAAATCTTGACAGTAACTAATATTGAAAGTGGAGAAAAACATCTCTATACTAGCATTGTCTTAGATAATATCTCTAGGTAACAAGATGCCTTCAATTCACCCCATGTGTGTCAGGGTAGGGTTGTGCTCCATCAGGTTTATAAAGACTGATTTTTCAGAAGCAGATCATCAGCTCTTTTTC